TTCTAAAACAGCTAATTGCCGCCATAGAAATCGGAAGCAGGTCATATTACAAATTTTTAACACATCAGCTTTTTCATTTAAAACATTATTATTTAATTTTAGTCTTTAATAAATATTTTGTGATATGTTTTTTACAGAATATTACGCATCGTAATAATTATTATTTCAAAAAGTAATTTTCACTCCGTTCGCATGAAATGGAGGAGGACAGTGTTAAATCAGAGAGAAGCTAAAATAATGTGCAGTTTACATGAACTACATGTAAACATCATGATTAACGTACACTTTTAAAAGTACATTTTTTAATTAAAATCTGCATGTAAATATAATACGGTTGATTTGTGTTACCTAATTGTATCCATTTTTAACATTTGAGACAAATTTGTGATTACTTAATGATCGTTACTACTTCTTTTCATAAATAAATTTGTTATCGAAAATTTCAGTTAGTATAGAAAACAAGATTTTACTTTGACGTGAAATGTAAATGATGTAAACCGATCGATGAATTTAAATTACGCGCGTTTCTTGTTGATATTGACACTGCAGCACAGCAGCAGCAGCAGCTGTTCGTTTACATTACGTTTGGCGCTCAAACTGATAAAAAAGGCGGGCTTTGGACCCTCATTATCGCCCGTAGCAATTAGTAAGCATTATCACAGGGAACATCGCGAGTCCGTAAACAGAGTGTTGAAAATTTTGAAAATTTTAACGGACATCTGCATCACGTGTATATATTCGTATATAAAAACATGTCTCAGCCGTCAGTAACGGCGTATTTTAATACGCGCAAGCGACAAGCTACTGACGATTTGCGAAGCAAGGCAAAGGTCTTGCTTCTTGAAGGAGACCAAACGAGGTTAGTGAGTAGCCAGAGTCGAAATTCCCAAAATAAAGATACTTCGGAATCGTCCGGATCACACACATTGGCTTCAATCACAGAGGATAGTACAATGGGAGCAAGTCCAAAAGTGATTCTAGTTCCAGAGAAAGAAATGGCAAGTAATCGTGCAATGAAACCAAATTCTGCTGTTCGCAATATACAATTCGATTCTCCCAAATCAAATGTACAAAAAACATCTAAAAGCAATCCAAAGCCTAGAGCTTTGCGCTCTCGAAAACTCTCTGGACAAGAGGGTCAGGCAGATATTCGAGAGAGTTTCCAGAAAGTTACAGAGGATTTGGATGCGAACAAAGTAGTATTGTTTGAGAAAAAAGGAGCTCTTAGTCCAAAGAAGAAACCTTCAGGAACACCAAAAAAGAATAATCCCGCTGCTGAAAATCTATCGAATGATCAATCTTTGAATAATTGTACTACTCCAAAAAAAGGTTTAACTATGGACAAACTAGCAAAACAGGAATTGTCTATAACTGATATAAAGAACAAAATTAACAAGTCAGGACGACTTGCAGAATTAAAAGCTTCTATTGCAAGATTTAAGAATTGTGAACAAAAGTTGGACAAATTACAAAAGCAGAATGAAATCAAGAAGCCACAAATACAGAAATTTGAGAAAATTCAACTTGAAATACCAGTCAGGTAAAATGTTTACAATAAGAGCAAAATATCATCTTGTGTTTCACCATGTTACTTATGTTACTTTTCATATTTTACAGCCCACAGAAAGCATACAAATCGCCAAGTAAAACATTATTAAGTCCAATGAAGAATAGAGGATTGAAGGCATCTAGTCCTCAGAAACGAATTTTGTTTGAACCTAAAGAATCGACTCCCAGTCCAGTAAAGGGTAGTCCAACTAAAGCACCAGCTTATCAACAGTATCTGTCTTTAGCTGAAAGTGGAACACCTGCTTTACCACTGCCATATCATTACAGATTTTTGGCAGAAGCATTTAGATGTGTAGACACGGTATATATCTATTTAAAAACTTATACACACTTTGCTTTTATTTTACACAAATAATGTTTTTTATTATGTAGGTGTCTGCAATGCTCTTTAATCGTAAAGAAACAATAACTTTCAAGAAATTAAAGCCTGCAGTTCAGGAATTATTACGTAAAAACTTTACATTAGAACACATGGCACAAATTAAAACTATTTACCCGAATGCATACCAGTATCACCAGGAAAAATATCGTACCTTTGGTTCTACATCTAAACAAGATAAATATGAGCTTGTTTTGGTACCGATTGTAGAAGAAAAAAATGGAAGAAATACACCAGACGCAGACGATGTCTTGAGAACAGCTTCTGAAGTTAGCATGGGACCAAAAGTATTATTAGATAGACGGAGGAAGGTCTATAATGTTTTACTTGGTAATAACAAGTTGAAATAGTTACTATAGTTACATTTCAGTCACACTTTACAATGAACTATTTTTTAATTACAGATAAAGTAAAGGATGAGCACGAGAAATTTTTGCTCAATTTGGAAACACCGATGAAGGTACCAAAGGAGAAGATTGTACGTTGGCATCCGGAGTTCAATGTTGAAAATTGCAAACCAATTGAACCATCAGAATTGCCTCAGCCACCAAATGTAGAAAAAGTTACGAGTGCAAAAGACGTTCTTGGTAAATTTAGTTTTATTAACTTATCAGTAACTACTTATTAATTATTAGTTATTAAATTATGCCAATAATTTTTTAGATAAAGCAAAATCACTATTCAGTTGCGGTACACGCATGGAAAAAGCATTACAGCGATTAGCTGAAGCAAAGATGACTTCAAAGGCATCTCCAGAAAGAGATGAGAAAAACAGTTCAACTCAAACTGTAGATACTATGCGGAAAGTTAATATTTCGGTTGTGGATACACCGCCCGCTACACCTACGGTGCAAAATAATTTCATTAATTCGGCGCTTAAAGGCATACCAAAGGCGCTTTTAGAGAAGGTACAAATTTAATATAAAAAATTGTTACTAGTAAAATTTATATAAATATAATAACTAACGTTTTTTTCTTTGTATTTTGTACCTTAGGTGCGGGCTAAACAAGCAGCTAAAGCATTCGAAGCGATGACACGAACACCAGATGCCGACAAAGAAGCTACGATGTATTCAAGACTTCCAGAACTGAGTAAAATCTTACGTAACATTTTTGTAGCTGAGAAGAAAAGTGTTCTGACTATGGAATTCGTAATTGGAAAACTGGAGAATTCCTTCAAAGCGAAATTAACCCCCAATGAATTAGAAGAACACATACGTTTACTATGTAAATTACTACCTATATGGACTAGTATACACAACGTAAGAAAAATAGATTACTTAAAATTGCAAAAAGAAGTTGACCTTGGAAAAGTAGTCAAAAGATTGGAGATGATGGCAAATCATAAAGTAACATCTAAATGATATTAATTGTATACTATAAAATATTTTCATTTGAAATTTATTATCAATGAAGATTACAATTTTTTTCAATTCCTTCATTATGTTTTCTACAATTTACTACTTCATTTAATTATTTATTCAATTAAGTAGATTTGATGTAGTAGCTAAATTTTGATTCAAAGAGGGA